TTGGTTGGTGCTGTTTTTTGCTGCTGGTCGGGGGTTTGCTGGTACTGCTGCTGGGCGGGTGCTTTTGGCTGTTACTGTGCGGTACGGGTTTGCTGGTTTTTGGTGCTGGTAGGGTCTTGGTTTTTGGGTGGTATGCTGTGGTCTGCTGTTTGTGCGGGTTATGCTGCTGGTACTGGGCTGGTGCTGTTATTGCTGGGGGTCGGGTTCTGGTAGGGTTGCTGGTCTTTGCTGGTGCTGTTATTGCCCCGGGTTTTGCGGGGCGGGTTTTGGGGTGTTTGGTCGGGTTACTGCTGCTGGTAATTGTGCTGGTGCTGTTATTGCGGGGCTGGTATGTGTTTGGTACCGGTGGGGGTGTTTTGTGCGGGTTTTGTTTGGGGTGGGTTATTGCTGCTGGTATTTCCTGCGGGTGCTGCTGCTTGTGCTTTTTACGGCTGTGGTACTGGTGTTTGGTTTACTGCTCTGGTCTGGGGTTTGCTCGGGTTTTTGGTACGGTGCTGTTACTGGGTGCGGGAAATGCTTTGGGGGGCGGGTTTGGGGTACTGGTGGGGGTCTGGTGCTGTGCTGGTGTGGTACTGGTGTTTTTGCGGGCTGGGGGGTTGGTGCTGGTATTGCTGCTGGGGGCTGGTGCGGGTTCGGGTTGTGCTGGTACTGGTGCGGGTACTGGTGTGGTACTGGTACTGGTATGGGCTGGTAGGGTGTGGTTGGTAGGGGTTAGGGTGCTGGGAAAGGGTGCTGGTGTTTTGCTTGGTACGGGTGTTGGTATGGTCGGGTGTTTGTGTTTGGTGGCGGGGCGGGTATGTGCGGGGTTTTTGCTGTTTGGTTTATTTGCTGCGGGAATTTGTGGGGGTGTTTTTTTTAAAATTGGGGCGGGCGGGTGCGGGTTTCTGTGCTGGTATGTGTGGTGCTGTTATTGTGCTGGTTTTGGTGCCGTTATTGCTGCTGGTTTTTCTGCTGGTGCTGCGGTTGTGCTTTTACGTGTGGTATTGGTGGGGTTTCGGTGGGGTACTGGTGTGCTACTGGTGCTGGTACTGGTGCTGTTTGGTGTTTGGTACTGCTCCGGTGTTTGGTATGGTATGGTGCGGGTTTTACTGGTGCTGGTGCTGGTGCTGGTACTGGTGTGGTGTTTTGGTCGGGGGTTTTGGTTGCTGGTACTGCTGCTGATGCTGGGGGGCGGGTTTACTGGGGGCTGGTATGGTGTGGTACTGGTGCGGGGAAATGGTGCTGGAAAGGGCTGGTGTTTGGTACGGGATACTGGTGCTATTTGGGTGTGGTGCTGGTGCGGGTTTACTGGTGCTGGTATGGTACTGCTGCTGCTGCTGGTGCTGGGCGGGGATACTGGTGCTTTTTCTGGGCGGGTTTCTGCTGCTAAAAGTGGGGTGCTGGTACTGCTCCCGGGTTTACTGTGCTGGAATTGGCGGGTACTGCTGAATGGTGGGGAAAGGGCTGCTGGGGGCTGGTCCCGGTTATTGTGGGGTTTACTGCTGCTGGTTGTGCTGGTTGTGTTTTTTTCCGGTGCTGGTACTGGTGCTGGAAATGGTTTTCCCCCCCCCCCCCCCCCCCCCCTGGTGCGGGAAATGGTGCGGGGGTTACTGGTGCTGTTTTTTACGGGCTGGTTTTGCTGGTACGGGTGTTTGGGTTTGGTTCGGGTGCTGGTACTGTTTGGCGGGTGCTGGTACGGGTTTTTTGGTGTGGTAATGCGGGTTTTGTTTTTTTCTGGAATGGTGCGGGTTTCGGGTGTGGTACGGTGGGGTTACTGGGTGTGGTAATGGTATGGTGTTTGGTTTCTGGGGGTGGAAATGGGGGGTTGGTGCGGTACGGGTCGGGTTTGGGGTTTAATGGGTGCTGGGGTGTGGTGTTTGGCCCTGGTGCGGGTTACTGGTTATGTGCTGCTGCTGGTGTGGGTGGTACGGGTGCGGGTTAAGGGCTGTGGTATGCTGCGGGTTACTGTTTGGGGTTGGGGGTACTGCTGCTGGTACGGGCGGGTGGGTATTCTGGGTACGGGCTGTTTGGTTTGCTGTTATTGCTGCTGGTGGGTCCGGTTTTGCGGGCTGGTCGGGTGCGGGTGCGGGCGGGTTGGGGTGGGCTGTTCCCGGCTGTGGTACGGGTGCGGGTACGGGTGCGGGTTGGTTTTTTGCTTCTGTGTGGTAATGGGGGCTGTCTGGGGGGCTGGTACTGCGCGGGTTTGGTTTGGGGTTCGGGTTTAAGGGTGCTGGTCCTATTTTTCGGGTGCTGGTGCGGGTTTAATGGTGGGTGTGGTAGGGTGTTGGGGGGGGTTTGGTTTTTTTTGGGGGGGGGGCTGGTACGGGCTGCTGTGCTGGTGCGGGGTTACTGGTGGGGTTACTGGGGGCTGGTAACTGGTATGGGACGGGTCTGGAAAGGGTGCGGGTTTTGTGGTACTGTTCGGGTGTTTTAGTACTGGTGGGGGGCCCCTTTTTTGCTGGGGTACTGGTGGGGCTTGGTTTTTCCCCTGGGAAACGGGTGTTTTGGCGGGTGTGTTTGGTGCGGGTACTGGTGCTGTTACGGGTGCGGGTTAGGGTGTTGGTATGCTGCTGGGGGTTTTTTGGAAAGGGTGGGTCCTGTGCGGGGTCTGGGCGGGGACGGGTGCTGGGGGGCTTTTTGGGGTGCTGGTACTGCTGTTGGTGCTGGTACGGGGCGGGTTTTGGTTTGCGGGCTGGTCGGGTTGGTGGGTTTTCGGGGCGGGTTTGGCTGGTACGGGTTTCTGGTGCTGGTCGGGTTTGGGCTGGTGGCTGTGCTGTCTGGTGTGGTTTCTGGTGTGTTACTGTGTGGTACTGCTGCTGATACTGCTGCGGGGTGCGGGTTTATGCTGGGGTCCCTGCTGTGGTACTGCTGCTGGTACGTGTGGTGCTGGTACTGCTGCGGGTTAGGGGGATGCGGGTTTGGCTGGTACTGCTGCTGGTATTTGCTGCGGGGTTACTCCCTGTGGTGTGGTACTGGTACT